ATAATTATGAAAGTTTGTTAACTTTCAAATTGGTTATCGAGTTTCAATTCAATCTAAACTTGAATTTCAAAATTAAGCTATAGTTTGTTTATAAACTAGCATGGTTAAATACCATTTTTGGTCCCTCTACTATAGGAAAAAGCTTTTTTTTTTTTTATCCCTGTACCGAAAAAATCCCTTTTTTGATCCTTACTATTCACAAATTCGGCCCCTTTTTGGTCATTCTGTTAATTTTTGCTAACGTGGCATGTTAATTTAACTGAAACAACTGATGTGAATATGCCAACATGTAAAAGATGCTTATGTGTCCACGTGCGAGAAAAGAAAAAAAAAAGGTTAAATGCTAAATTTGATCCCTCAACTTTATAGGTTTGCATTTTTTTTATCCTTAAATTATTTTTTTCACTTTTTTTATCTTTTAACTCTAAAAATTACACAATTTTGATTCTTTTGTTAACTAAACATGACGTGACAATTAAATAATTTCATTTGACATTTTCTTTTAATTTTTTTTATGACATGACAATTATATATATTATAATTATTTTATATAGATATATAAAAATATCACATAGATAAATATTTATATTTTAATTAAAAAATAAAATTACATTATTACCCTCAACTCTCAATCCCTCTTCTTCCCCTTATTTCTTTCTCTTTTTTTCTTTCCTACCCAGATCGATTGGGTTCCGACGAGTTGGGTAGCTGGGTTCGTTGAGCACTGCTTTCTATGCTGCATCTCACTTCAAAACTTCTGCGCAGAAATTCCTCCAAACCCTTCGAAATCTCCCAGCTGCCGTTGATTACCTCTTTTTCCGTAACTCTTTCGCAAAACACGAACATGAAATCCGCTCCGATCCGATTCGATCCCATCTGTCTCGATCATTTCATCCGATCCAATGTTTCTCGCTTGCTGAAATCTGATCTCCTTGCTGTTCTCGCTTGTTGGTCCTGGTCACACGAACCCAGCCTTGTTGGTTTTGGTTGCGCGAATTCGGCCTTGTTGTTTGAAAAAATTAACAGATTTAGAAAACCATGTCGTGTTCCGTCACGGTATCAAGCTCCCCAGTCTTCTCTCCTTCCTTGTCTTTCTTCTGTAACAAAACCTCAATACGTTCTCCGTCAGCGGAGGCTTTTAATTTGACTTTAACCCACCTCAAATCCACATCTTCTCCTTCTTCTCCGTCTCCATCGTCTTCGCCTTCATCGCCGTTTCGTATAAGGATTCAAAAAACGTCATATGGGTCACTTCTCTCATCCTCATCTTCGTCTTCTTTGGGCTCCGGTGCGGGTTTTGGTCCCGAATCGATTTTGAAGAGGAAGAGGCCAGCTAGACTGGATATATTGGTGGCGACTGCGATGGCCTTTGCGGCTCCGTTGATGGAGAGCCAGGGGTGTAGAGAGATGGAGAGTGAAGGTGATGGGTATTCTGTTTATTGTAAAAGAGGGAGGAGAGAAGCTATGAAGGATAGGTTCGTCGAAACCTAGTTGCTGGGTTCGCGCAACCAGCAAGGCTAGGTTTGACCAACCCAGGCTCGACAAAACTAGCAAGGCTGGGTTTCGACGCTGGGTTCATGTTTTTTCATTTTTCTTTCTATTTTCATTTTCGGTTCTTGATAAATTTGAGAGTTGATTTACAATTTGATTGCATTTTTCTTAGAATTGGATTAAAGTTTGATTGCATTTTTGTTGGAATTGGATTAGAGTTTGAATGATATTGTTTATTGAAGGATTAATTTGATTTGATGAGATCTACTGGCTTGATGAACTCAATGGCTTTAATGAAACCAGTAATTGAGTTTTGACGAACACAGCAAGGTTGGGTTCGAGCAACCAGCAAGGTTGGGTTTCAACGAACCCAGCCGATCTGGGTAGGAAAGAAAGAAAGAGAAAGAAAGAAGGGGACGAAAAGGGGTTGAGAGTTGAGGGTAATAATGTAATTTTATGTTTAAATTAAAATATAAATATTTATTTACGTAACATTTTTATTTATCTATAT